TTCATTGGTTAAGGGTTTAATTATGGTCAATTAGAGGGGTTAAACATAATTTTAGGGTTTAACTTTGATTTATTACATTTTCCGGAAGCTTTAATGCATTTTCTGAAAGATTTAATGGCTTAATTAAGGCTTAAACTTAGGAAATTTGATTAAGGGGCTTAATGACCTCTAAAACCAGTGAAAATTTTTCTAGTGGCTGTACATGTCGCTAAGTTCAAGTGTTTGAAGTTTCAAGTGAAAAAGGAATGTATCCTAATTATTGGAACTATTCTAAGTTCTCTAAGCACATGTCCTTAATTATTGTCCTTAATGACACTAAGTTTAATAGGTCCAAATCAAGGTTTTAACTAACCCTCAAACTTAACATATAAGCAAACACACACACCCTTGGACTAATCATGACATAAGCACATAGAAACAATCAAATCCTAAAGCTAGGAGAGCCTAGACTAAGTGTATGTGTGTGCACAACCTAAGCATGCAAATATTGATAATAATTAAGATAACAAAATTTTGATTAGTGAATGATTAGAATATAATCACTCACTAATAATTCCCCAAAATTTCTATTCAATCAAGCCTAATCTATGTTTAAGGTTTCAAAAGGATCTCTCAAGTATATTAAAGATTTAATATGTATAATTTTAAAATAGATTTCAAAATATATATATTTATAAATATAAACCTATATACATAAGGATATAGATTTTAAAATAAGATAATTAAAAATATGATTAAGATATACATTTTAAACTTGTGAGATCCACTGACTTTCAAAGAAATTTAAAAGTATATTTTTTTTTATTTTCAAAATATTTAATATAATATTTAATATAATATTATATAAATATTAAAGATAATTATATAATTCAAATTAATCAAAATAAATTGAATTTCAAACTTTGAAAATAGTTTTAAAATACAATTATCAATTTTTTGGAAATTTTGATATTATATTTGAATTTTTATGATTTAAATCAAATTTATTTGAAATTTTTGAAGTTTTAAGTTAATTAAGGTATTTTAAATCAATTTATAATTAATTAATAATAATAATAATAAAATCAAATAACAATTAAAATAATCTAATAGTTTATATATTAAATTACTTAAAATATAAAGAATATTTTAAAGCACTTTTATTTTTAAATCAAAGGCTCTGAAAAACGGAGCAGTTTGATATATTATATGGATTTTTTGGATTTGTATTTTATTTACTATGATTTTTTAAAGATTTCTGTTAATTAAATTATGTTAAAGTTAATTTAAAACCTTTTAATTAAAACGGCAGCTGTCATTGGGACAGATGGCACACTCTGGTTCGCGGGATCAAAACGCGCGGCGGCGACGAGACTGGCGGCGGTCAGACACGTGGTAGCTGCTGGTTAATCGACGCGGTTTCACTTAAACCAGTCAGCAGTACCGCGGGACCGTTGGATTCACCCTGATCTAAATCGACGGCGGGGATTAGATCCCGTCGTCTGATCTCAGTCAAGAAGGATCGGACGGCGGGTGATTAATCCCGTGGTAAGGAGCTGACGGTCCAGATTCCGTCAGACGGTCGATCAAGCGTGCGAGCGCATACACGGTCGGATCAGACCGCGGAAAGGCTTATGCTGGACCGTTGATCAAGTGATCAACGGTTAATAAAAACGCTCGCCCGAGCCTGGCCGTGAAAACACCCTAGAACTCGTTTTTTGGCTTTTTCTCCCGATCCGGTCAATCAAATCGTTTAAAATTTTAAACCTAGATAGCCTAGGTGAACAGAAATAATGGGGAGATATTTTTACTACCTATAGCGCATCAAAACGAAATCTATTTAACTCAAGTGTCCTAAGCTAGGTTTAGAGTTTCACCTCGATTTAATGGACGGTTTGACCCGCTAAATGATTTTTTGCATTTGTAGACTGTCCACGCTCCTTTTTGTAGAAGACACCTCGGATTGAAAGCTCCTGGATCGAGTGCTATAGTTCCTCGAACGGATTTGGGATAGGTTCGCCGGGAAGCTTGCCGGAAAGGGACTTGACCGGCGGGATTTGAGTGGGGATGTGTTGAGGAGTCTCTGGGGAGCTCAATAGAACAGATACTTTGGCTTTAGAGGTTGAAAAAGTGGAGAGAGAGGATTCAAGTGAGAATCCCGGCTCAAAACCTTCATTTGCCCTATTCACTCATTCCCTGATCAAATCAAGGGCTGAGATTCATAGGAGGAGCTCCCAGATGCTCTCCACCTGTCCAGGGAGTGGTTGGGAGCAGATGGAACCAAGGACAAGAGGACATCTTATGTGGAAAGTGTCCCTTGTCCTCTAATGAGCATGTGGAATTGATCCTAGCTGTTTGATAATGATCTAGTGGCTATGATGGGCTCAAAGAAGGTTCTAGATATTAACTAAACTGCTGGATTGATTTGGATTAGAGTGGGATCAAGTTTAAAAAGGTTTTTTTGACCAAATTTGACCACTCCAAAGACCATGTTGACTGTTTGACCAGTCAATATGCCACATGGGCATATGAGTTGGCATATGGAGATGCCTTGGGTGCTGGAGTGATGATTTGGAGGGAGCCTAAATGGGTTGGAGTAACTTGAGTCAAGCCATTTGGGCAATTAGAGGTTTGTTGACCAAACATTGACTGGTCAACTAACCATTTTGACTGTTGTCGTCCAATACTTACTGCATAATACCAAGGCCTGACTCTCGATAGCACAACTTTCGATATCTTAATATTAATCATTTTAAGCACAAATTATAGTTAAATGACTTATTATTTTTAAATTATTTTTAATATTATACTTATTCAATTTTTATATAATTCTTTAAATATAAAAATTATAATAACGTGTCCAACCCATGTCCATGTCCTATATTTTTAATAATTGATGTGTCCCGTATTCGTGTCACCGTGTCCGTGTCTGTGCATCATAGCAATGAACCAGTCCAATTAGGTAATTAAATCAATTTCATGCTGGTCTCCATTTTATAGGACCACTCGATCCACAATTTAAATTAATAATCACCATTAATTTTAAGTCTAAGAACAGATTTTACATAGTTAAAATATATTTACAAAACACCTAATCCTATCCCTCAAAATCCCATGCTCTCTTCTGCAATGCAGCTCTGTCACCATCTAGCATTTTCTGGTAATTCTTCACTCAACCTTTGGCACATATTTCCATTATTACATCATTATTACGTCATTTAAAATATTTTTTAAATAATTTTAATATTTATTAATTTATTCAGTTCAACCCTGTAACCCTGTTCATAACATCCATCAAATTTACACAGGTAGAAATCTCAGTTCTTACAGTAATAAATATCAATACAACAGGTTTTGAATCTATCAGATTAGGAAGCCTTTAACGCAATAACAGCCAAACAATTTTTAGCATCTTATCTAGTCAATGTGTAAACAAGACAAAAGAGCGAAGTTGCCAACAAAAAAAACAAAAAACAAAAAAAAAGAGTAAACAGTAACAAGAGCACAAACTTTACAGTGTCGAAAACATAGAGTCATGTAGTGAATGTCTCAGAAAAATCCAGCTGAGGTCCCCTCATCTCCATTCTCTTCACGGATGAACATAAATCCAGAGAAAACATCCATGTGAAGCTTATTCTTTCATGGTGAACAGAAATCACTTATTGTGGTGGTTGATATTTGTCACAAAGCTTATGATATATGGTAAATAAAGACAAGAAGACAGTATAAAGAAGAAATCTAAACAGCTAGAACAGCTCATATGATCAGGAGTTGAGGCTCATGATAAGATATGAACTATTACTATTAAGTAAGACCCTTTAAATAAAATAAAAAAAACTGCATCTGATGCTTTCTGGTTGCTAGAATAATTCTGCAGCATCATGTGCTCCCCTCAAGTTTAAGGTGAAATTATTCTGTGCGGATACAGATGCCGTCCGGAGGCGAATCAAAACATGCCACGTCACTTTTTGTTGTGTACTGGGTGACGTGACGCCTTCTAATTTTTCTCTGGACGGTCCGGTGTCCGCACAGAATAATGACTGTTTGTGGAAGACAGGTCAGACAGAGATGAGCACTAAAATTTTACCCGAAACAAGAAGAATAAAAAATTACCTTCGAATGTGAAATAAGACGGAGAGTTAGTATAAAAAAGAGAGATCATTAATGCAGAGGTGTAGAGTAGTGTAAGCATACTCAGTGAGTTTGAGCTCAGACATGCATTACAAGTAGGATCTTAATTGGAAAACTGATGCGAAACCAGGCTATAAATGCATTTTGAGGTGCTGGCGACTCCATAAATTGGTAGGTGGAGAAGATGGTACAGTAGAATCACGAAGGAAGGGAAATTCATTTTTGAATTGATTGATACTTAAGACGTTCAAATGGAGAGTCTAGGGATGGCATTTTTACTGCTTCTTAAAACAGCTTTTATGTACAAAAAAATTATTTTTTTACTATAAAGCTACTTTAAGAAACAGTAAGAAAGTCGTCCCAAACGAAATCTAACTATCTAATAATCACTAATTATCTATTAACCCAACCCAAATTACCCATAAAATTATTAGTACTAACATACTCCTATTAAAAACCTTCATATCACTCTTTCTTCATAACCTCATAGTTCATAGTTATCTCAAATCTGAATCTCAAATAGGTCAAATGAATATTAATTGGCTACATAAGTGGGTTTGTAGTCTGGTACAAATATGATGGGAAATAAAGTTTTAATATACAAAACTTTTCTGTTTTAGGTTTGAAACTAGGGAAGCAAATAAAATAAAATAAAGTTATTAACCTCACATTACAAATCTTTCACAAATATACAATCTAGTCACATTTAGGCTTCGTTTGGGACGTCTTTCTTCTTGATTTCTAAAACAGCTTTCTAGTATAAAATTTTTTTGAATTTGAAATTTTTGTACTAGAAAGCCATTTTAAAAAGCAGGACGAAAGTTGTCCCAAACCAAGCCTTAATTTGTTGGCTATTGTCTTACATGCATTCTATTTGCAGTGAACCAGGAAACCCTTAAAAGACACCATTTTTATTAGTTAAACAAAGCTTCATCAACAGATTAATGGAAGCAAAAGAGAACAGAACTGGATTCCTTCTCTACCTTCTAAACCTTCACATTGCATTCACTTGAAAGAGGAGATTCATACAAGCACAGGTCCTATCACAAAAATCTAATAAATGTTACAAAAACATTAATACAATCTCATACCTCAAGAGGCTTACTTCAATTTTTCTTCATTGCTTGAGAGCATCCACAATATTTCTCATCGAAGGCCTTCTCTCAGGATTAGTCTGAACACAAGCTAAAGCAATCTTAAGTACAGCAATAATCGCATCGTCCTCATCAGGCTCACGAGCGAGAAATGGATCAAGAACGTCAGCGAGGGGCTTCTTCTCTTCGATGCAGAACTGAATCCACTGAACTAAATCCATTTCTGAGGTCTCAAGTAGGACTATTGGAGATCTACCAGAAATCAGTTCAAGTAATATGACACCATAAGAGTAAACATCCCATTTCTGGGATGGTTTCAGGATTTTCAAAGCTTCAGGAGCTTGGTAGCAAGATGAAGAGTTCACAAGTGGGCTTGCAGAGATGTCATAATTCTCTTTGTTATGCTTCTCAGCTGTGATTCTATTTAATTGCAGTAATGGTAATGAACCAGAAATGTTAACCAGGCGGCCAAGTCCAAAGTCTGAGATATAGGGTTCCATGTTTTGACCAAGTAGTATGTTGTTAGATCTGAGGTCTCCATGGACAAACTTCTTTGGATTGAAATCATGCAGGAAAGCCAAGCCCTTGGCGATTCCCCGAATGATTTTTAGCCTTATTTCCCAGGTGAGTGGCTGCCAAGCCATAGGACTTCTCCCTGAAATCATATGAATGTAACAAATAGATATCAGATTAACAATGAGTCAATGACTGGAGCAAGTAGGACAGGTAAAAAGTGATATTAAAAAATAATGCAAAATTTTTCATGAAACTTTGAGAAATTTCTAAAACTTAGGCTTCGTTTGGGATGGCTTTCTTACAGCTTCTTAAAGCAGCTTTCAAGTATAAAAATTTTATGATGCAATAAAAAAGCAGTCCCAAACAAAGCCTTAAGCTAATAGAAATTGAACATGAAAATTTTATGATGCAAATAAGCATGTAATTACCCTCTTTAGTTAGATTTACTAGTTACTTTATATATAGCATTACATATCTTGCTGACTTTAAAAGTTAAACTAAACATTACTCCAAATACATACATTCCATTTAATCCAACCTAAAACGAGTAAATTATACAAGATACTCTAAAGCAACCTATAAAATTCAACAAAGCTAAAGAACAACCAAGTCAAAAGGAGACATACCATGAATTGCCGTAGAAAGCTTTCCATTTGGTATATAATCATATATTAGCAATTTCTCCTCAACCGACCAATAATAAGCTCTTAAACCAACAATATTAGGATGCTTGACCTTCCCAATAGCCTCCACCTCAGTCTTAAACTCACTATACCTCTGCAATCCTCCTTCTCCCAATCTTCGAACAGCCAGGGTCAAGCCATCATCTAATGCAACCTTGTATACAATTCCAATCCCACTCTTCCCAAGAACAAAGGCCGAGGCCTTCAAGAGCTCATCCAAACTGAAACTCACCTGAGGATCCAATGGCACAAGATCAAGATGTTCTACATTCTCAGATATTGTCTCAGATTCATCCTTCCTAAAGCAAATGCATTCCTTCTTTGCCTTAGAAATTTTGTCAGAATTGACAGAACTTGGTTTCTTTTTTGAAGTCATTGCCCTCCTATAGCAATAGAAGAACACCAATGCAATCAAACAAATCCCAACCAGATCACTCACCACTATTGCAACTATCTGGCTCCAGGTTAACCCACTGCTTCTATTACCATTTCCTCTTGAATTATAGCTCATTTCAGTAGGGGGAGATGCATTGATTTCCCTGGGCAAAAAAGGGTCACTTGAAGGTAAGCCAGAAGAGCATGGGTTCTTCAATGGAGGGCCACAAAGGCCAGGATTTCCAATAAAAGCCGTTGGTCCTCTATTTTCCAGCGCACCATTCTGTGGTATTGGACCACTTAGATTGTTGTATGTGAGGTCTATATAAACTTTCTCAGGAAGACGACCGAGGCTCTCTGGAATCAACCCAGAAAACAGATTGTGGGAGAAATCAGCAGTTCCTTGGAGATTTGAGAGATTTCCAATGTCTCCAGGTATCGAGCCATTGAATTTATTATAAGAAAGGTCTAGTTCTTCTAGGGCAGGCAAGCTGCTTCCAAAGCCAAGGGGGAGGAAATTGGTGAAATTGTTGTGATTCAAATCAAGAACCTTTAACCTTTTGCAGTTTGACAATGAATTGGGCAAAGAACCAAAGAAAGAATTCTGGGAAAGGTCTAAAACCTGAAGGTAGGACAAAGCACCAATCTCAGAAGGAAGAGATCCAGATAAGGAATTACCAAAAAGCACCAAGCTTTGAAGTCCTCGAGCAGAGAAAAGCTCGGGAGGGAGAAATCCAAAGATCCTGTTATTCCTTAAATTGATATGTCTGAGAGATTGAAGGGAGCCAAGTGAAGGGTGGATATAACCTAACAGGTTTTTCTTAGGAATGCTCAAGGAGACAACTTCTCCATCCCTGCAGGTGACACCACTCCAAGAACATGGGTCCTGAGAAGAGGAGTTCCAGTTAGCCATGGAACCTTCAGGGTCTTGTGAAATGGATCCCTTAAAAGTAAGGAGAGAAACGCCTTCGGCATTGAGGCCAGAAACCGAAGCAAGAAAAAAGGGGCCGAACATTAGAAGCAGGAGAAGGAGAGAAGATGGAAAAGCCATAGAAGATGTGTTGGGTCTCCTGTCGGAGGAAAAGAAGTGGCTTTGTGAGCTAAAGGCGTGCTCTTCTGGCTTGAAAGTGAGGGGAAATGGAAGCAAGAGAAGGATATGAGCAATTTTTCTCTTTTCCTTGTGTGTATGAAGCTCACTTATCTGTACTGTGGGGAAAGCTGCAAGTAGAACGCAGAAGCCGGATATGGAAGATCTGCAAGTTGCGGTGAGTTCGAATATGGTGCGTTCAAGTAGTTGGAGGGAGCAGTACAGAATGAGGATTTCGCTTTCCCTTGTGGAGGAAGTCTGTGACTCGCACATATTCCAAAGTAGAGGAAGTTAGTGAAAGGGTAGTGCGATCACAGCTTGGAATTAATTGAAACATAATTTTTAGGCTATTTGTTTAGTTTAAAAATGAATGCAATTAAAAAATTGTAAATAAATATAATGTACCGAAAATATTATTTAGTGGGATTGCGTATATTATAGGGAGATTATTTTTTTAAGGTTTGATTTAAAATAAAATTAATTTAGGGGTTATTTGACTTACTTTAAAAGTAATGCATAGCAAAAAATATATGTAGTAAAAAAAATTTGGTGTTTTATTGAAGAAAGAAGATATATAATGTAAAAAATCCGTAAATTCTTTTTTTACTTCCTAGTTTATTTTTTATGTAGTATAAACTTGTTCAATTTTAATCAAATTTCTTTTCCATCTCAAGTCAACTGCAATGTCACCACCCACCACCATCTACTGATGAGAGTGCCCCGCCCACTGACACCCTCCACCAACTTCGGCTTCCTGCCAACCACCGTCATCCACTACCACCATCTGTCTTCACCTTCTACCATAGAATGTCAATGTCGACCAACGCCCATCGTCGTCACCGCTCACTTCAAGCCAAACCAAAAAATAACAATAACTTCCATCATTCCTTTTGCATGCATCTAAACAACTTTGAACATTTCAAATACACTACATTCCCTTTATACCACTAGTAGTTAGGGATGTAAAAATGAGTTAATGGGTTGGGTTCGAGTTCGACCCAAAAATTGACCTGACCTGAATCCAATCAACCCAAAATCGACCCATTTAATAAACAGATCAAAATGGTGGACTGTTGTAATCTAGCTCGAGCTTATGTTTTGATAATTACAAATATTATTGGAGTTTACTTAGTTGCTCTTACTTGTTATCATTGCATATCTTTTCTGTGTGTACTAATATTTTAGGTACATCATACACCAAGCACCATCAAAGAATTAGAGCTCAAGATTGGTTAGTATAAGATTGATTTCTTAAAAAGCTAATATTTTTATCTTTCTTGAGTCAATGTATTATTATTGAGACAATGTATTATAAAAGGTGTTGTTGACCTTGTTTTTCTCCAAACTCTATGTCAAAGGAGTTAACTTGGTCAAACTGACCAAGCCAGATCCCAAGATCATCTCCATTGTGTTCATTGGGTCAAACCCAGTTTGTGGAGCCCATACCCAAGCACTGGGTCAACATGGTTGACCATGTCAACATGTGTCAACCCAAATTGACCAAAATGTTTTCTTTTGATTTCAAATCTAATTCAGAGCTTCTCAAGCTCAATTCTCACCTCCCCTGGATTCAATGGGTCAGACCCAACCCATTAGACTCGAACCTGTGCCCTAGGTCAACCTTATTGACCAGGTCAACCTAGGTTAACCCATTAAGCCCTATTAGGTCAATTTATGTTCAATTGAATTTCAAGTATCCCTTGGATGCAAACCTCCATCCTTTTTGACCTAATTGGCTAGGTTGACCAAGTCAAACCTTGACTTGGTCAAACTAAGCCATAATTATGTCAAATTGACATCTTATAGCCAATTTAACCACTTTTTAATGGCTTTAATGGTTTCCTAAAGAGTTTTCATTGAAATCACAACCAAGGTCGATGGTTTTCCCTCCTAATCATGTCTTGATTCAATCTAAGTCGTCCACTAATACTATAGTGCTATAAATAGGGAAAATTAGGGTGTTCAATGGACCTTTTGTAATTTTCTCCTTCCCTAAGCTCTCCCAAGCTGCAAGAGTTTGTGTGAGAGCTCTCCCACCTTCCTCCACCTTCCACAAGTCAAATCTGATTGGTCAAAGCTGCCGGCGGCGAGTTCTTCAACTACCAGAGGGCTTAAAGCTTCCAAAGCATTTTCCCGTCGATCGAGGACATTTCAAGGCTCGAAGTCAACTAGGAAAATATTCATGGACAATCTACAAGCTCAACCTTACAAAGATCTTCTGAATCCATTCATTGGATTGAGGTAAAAGCTCAACCCTAGGTTAGAACACTTAGATCTAATTAGCATTTTGAAAAGTGATTATTAGGCCGCAAAAATCATTCCCCAAGAACTTCATTCATGTTTACAATGTATGTTTAATATCTCAAGTCATTTGATCGAGCTATTTGGGAGAATGAAGCGATTATCGCTTTAGGGTTTCAGTTCGGGCTTCTGCATGCACAGGATGGATCTTCGACTGTTGAATCCGCGATTAACAATCCAGATCTCGTCGTATGACTCGCCGAATCTGTCCCACGGTCCTATGATTTGTTTAATCAGGTTGTCATGCTCGATCAGAGCCATCTGCTCGAAACAACGAAGAATCAAATGGTTACCATAACTCGCTGACGTGATTAAGTTAACTGCACCACGGACAATCATGTTGTAATCAGCGACAATGATTGCACGGTGGCGCAATCATTTTCGATGATTAGAAATCGCATCTGCGGTTTGAGCCAGCGAACCAAAAAAGCACCATGTGGCCCACTCATTCGCCGTCGCTATTTTATTTAATTTAAATTAGTTTTAATTATTTTAAAAATATATTTTGTTTTAAATAATTACTATAAATTATTTTTAAATTTAAAATATTAGTATCAATATCAAATTTGGTAGATAAAAATATTTGCTATAATTTAAAAATATAATTAGTTTAGGGAAATATAATGTTATGATGTTATTGTTATATAATTAGGTTATTATATAATGATTATTTATTTAGAATTATATAAAATTAGTTATTAAATTTATTATTTCAATATATAGTGAAATTAATATTAATAATAGATTATAAATTTATTTAATATTGCTCAGAAAATAACTTTTTAAGATTATAAATTATAGTTTTTGATGTATTATTATATTTAACATTTTTCTTTATTACTGTTGATGTATTAAACTTAGTTTTTAATATGCTTTTCATTACTTGGGAAAGGATTTATTAATTATCTATTGCACTTTTATATAAAATTTTATTAGTTTATTAAATATTAATTATTTTGAGGTATTGTTTTCTCTTTTTAATAATCCTAAGCAATAATATATTAGGAAATTAGTATTAAATATATTAGTATTATTATTATGATCTCAAAATTATTATTTTAATTTAAGATTAATATTGTTTATTTTATTTTAAAGTAAGAAATAGCTTATATTCTTAATTTATTCATGATATTTGAGAGTAATTTAATATCGAAACATGTCTACTTATTTTAATTAATTGAATAATTTAAATAAGCAAGTACCTTATAAATTAGTTATTATAATATAATATATAGATATATAATATATTATATATATATACTATCATTATACTAGTATATATATATATAATATCATTTTGAATATGATTTTTAAAACTAGACAAATTATTACTTTTTTATTATTAATTTAATCAAATATCTGCCTCAAGTTTAAACTATTTTCATTAGCTAATTTTTATAACGGATTTGATTAATAATTATCTTAATTAAAATTAATTTAAATTTTTTCAAATTTATTAAATAAATACTTTTCTTATTAAGCTCTATTTTAAATGAGAAGAAGTATTTTGTTATTAATAAATATATTAATTATTGATTTCCTTATTTTAAAACTTTTTCCTTAGTTACTCATGATTACTTTATATTTATTACTATTAATTAATTTTAAGATTTAATCTTTTTATACATTACAATATTTTTTTATATAATTATTTTAATTCATTAAATTCTTAATTTACTTTTGTTTGAAATCGATCTTATTCATTCACACATCATAATATACTTTAAAGTATTTTGAAAATATCCTTTTATCATTATCATTTGAAATTCATAAGTATGGTAAATATTAATTGGATTCAAATGTGTATAATTTAATAAAACAAATAAATTCTTTTACTAATGTAAATAGCTCTTTGTAGCACATATAAACAATCTATTCTCTGACATTAATTTCTAAGCCTGATCGTTATTATGCCCCTTAACTACTTAACATAATACTTAAATAATTATTATAATAATTATTTTGAAATTACAAGCTATTTTCAATTCTCTTTTGAGCCTTGCTTGGGTGACCTGTGGATCTCGCTTATAGTTAGGTATTCCTATTAATTAAAATATATTTAATTATTTTATTTTCAAAAAAAATTATATTTACAGGTATTTTAAATATTTTAAAATTATATTTATTTTAAATCCTTAATTTTGGAAGATCAGCTAATTAAAATTTTGAATATAAATTATGCACATGGATAGCATTCATGGGAGGGGGGGGGGAGATTAGTGGGTGATATTATTCTAATCATTTACTAATCACATTATAAAACATGCTTACTTACTTGATTTATCATCTTTTGCAGGTGTAGGACACACGAGTACTTAGTTTAGGTCCTGTTAGATCTAAGGACTTGGTGTGCTTACTATTTGCATACATTTTCTCATGTTATCTTAAGGGTTAGTCTCAAACACTTGATTTAAACCTACATAATATAGTGACACCTTAAAGATAATAATTCATGACCCATCTAGCGAACTTAAAAAAATTCTAGGAGCTAGGGTAGAACCCTGATTGATATGAAACTCTAAATATTTAAACTTAGTGACATCTTAAACCTCCCAGAATTTTCTATGAATTTTTAGGATCCTTTAAACCCCTTAATTAAAAAATCTTAATTTACTCGTTAATTAGGCACCGATAACTTTAGAAAATTTTAATAAATTCATTTCAACTCAAAAAATTTCTCATAATACCTCAAACTCTTTAGATTTTAATGCTTAACATTATATAATTAAGACCTGTTAATTAGAATTTAATTTGAGCCTTAATTTAACTTTAATTAAGAATCACATTTTTGCCTTAATTAAATAATTAAAAATCATTAAAAATTCTAAATTTTCTCCAAATACTAGGGAACCCTTCCTTATGTCTTTTCTAACTTGGGGGTGATTCCAATCAGTTTGGAGCTAATTTGGATCAAAACCCCTAAAATGCCCTTTTATTAAACAATTTTAATATTTCTTTAATTACCCAAAACTTTTAAAATTTATAATTTTGCCTAGAAAAGT